TGGGTGTGGGTCGCCCCGCCGGGGCCGCGCTTTGTTGGCGGGCGGAGGGGAGGCCGGGGCGGCCGCTCGGCTCCGTCTCCCCCTTTGGCTTGGGGGGGTGTAAGGGCTCCGTACACCTCCGCAATGTGTTTCCACTTACGGCGTGTCCTCGCACCTGACCAGCGGCCGGGTGGGTCGTAAAGGGGCGGCTGGTGCCGCTGAGAGGCGGCGGGGACCCGGTGGGGACCGGGGTGGGCAGGGGCCGCCCGCCCTCCGCCAGCCGCCTCGCGCTCTCACACTTTTCCCTTTTAAAACACATGGCGTCCCTTTTAATGACGGCCGCCGCGGTTCCAGATTGAGGAGAGGGGAAAGAACTTGTAAAGGCGGGGCGCTGTGGGAAAAGGGGGAGGCTGGGTGCCTGGGGGGGTGTCCAAAAGCCCAGCACAGGGGGCTGTGGCCTGAGGCTCCCCGCTGACCCTTGCCCCACCTGGTGTTTCGCCTCTGGGACGTTTTTCAGGGTGCCCAGGGTGCCCCGGCCAGCGTGGGGGGCAGCAGTCTCCCTGTAGCTCCCCTCCGGACCCCTTCCCCGCCCGTCTGCCCCCCTTCGCTGGCAGAAGCACGTGTTCCTGTTTCGGGAAGGTGTAAAGCCGAGCCAGAAAGGGGGAAGGCAGGTGGGGTGCCACGGTCCCGGCCGCTGTGCCCCATTTCCAGGAGACGGAGCCCAGCTTGACCTCACCCTGTCGGGACTGGCCCGAGCAGGCCTGCCCATCCTTGTCCTCCTCCCTGCCCCGCCCCGGAGGCCAGCTGCAGCTGCTGGACGGCTGGGCCAGGCCCTGCGGGCGGGCGTGGCACTGGGCAGTGCCCCCTGCCAGGACACCCCCCAGGGTCCCTCTTGGACTAGTCCGCACTGTGGCCAGGGGGACAGGAGGGGTGTGAGCCCACCTCGGGGGCCAACAGGAGCCTGGGGTCCCCCGCAGGCCTAGCTGGGCCTTCCCACCCTGCTGGTGGGGGGGGCGGCAGGAAGCGGTGGGTGGGCCAGGGCAGAGACGCTGGCACGCCGGAGTTCATGCCGAAGGAATTCCGAATTAGCGGGCGGCTGGCTGCCTGGGACCTCCGGGCGGCCCCCTGGCCCCCCTGCCCCCGGCCGCCCCCGCCTCCCCAGTTCTGGCCTGCTCTGCCGGCTTCTTCGCACGGATGCCGAGACCTCCAGCGAGCCCCAGCCAAGCCCCAAACACCACTGAGAAACCCAGGCTCCAGGCCGGGTCCGGCTCCAGGCCGGGTCCTCCCGCCAAGTTTGCCCCCAAACGCTGTCAGGGCCCAGCCCAGAACGACGCTCCTGCCACCTCGCCCATCTGGGGCCATGAAGGACAGTGCAGGGTGGGGCGGCTGCTAGCAGCACGGGGCCTGGGGGGGGGTCCGTCACCCCATCCTTGGCACCAGCTCCACCAGGCTGCCTGGCCCCCGCCTGGCCCTTCCCACAGCCTCCTGGGGAATCCTTTTAAAATGCAAATGTAACCGCAACTCTCCCTGCTTGGAACCCAGGAAGAATTCCTCCCCCTTCTCTCCAGGTCCCGGCCCTTGCCGGCTTCCCAAACTTCATTTCCTCTACTCTCCTGCCCCAGGCCCTTTGGATTTCCGGGCCTTGGCCCACCACCTGGGCACCATGTCTTAGATGTTTCTATATAGCTCCTTCTCTCGTTTTCCATATGTCACCTCTCCAACTTGCTCCAGTCCCTAAGCTTTCTGTTAAACGCTGTTCTTCTAGATAATTCTTTGTGTTTTCCTTGCTGCCTTCTTGAGTATAAAGCCCACAAGAGCCGGGATTTAGCATATTTTAGTCACTGAAGTGTCTCTAGCTTCTGGCTTATTGTAAGGTCTCTAAGTGGATGGATGGATGGAAGGAAGGACGGGTGGGTGAGTGGATAAGTGGATGGGTGGGTGCGTAGATAAGTGGATGAATGGGTGGAGGGGTGAGTGGATGGATGGATGGAAGGAAGGGTGGGTGAGTGGAAAAGTGGACGGATGGAGGGAGGGCATGGAAGGATGGGTGGGTGCGTGGATAAGTGGATGAATGGGTAGAGGTGTGAGTGGATGGATGGGTGGATTAGATCTCACAATCTCACTGGCAGAAGAGGCTCAGAGAATTTAAATAACCCTGGTAGCCAGCTGGTAGGGCTTTGGCCTCCAGGCCTGCCCTGAACGTGGGCACCCACAATGTTCTAACAGAGGCTGACCCCAAGGCCTCTTCATCAGTGGAGAAGCTGACACTCAGAGGGGGCCAGGCGCATGTCTGGCCCCTACCCCTTCTAAGCCTCGGTTTTCCCCTGGTAAAATAGCCCTCTTGGGTCTAGTCAGGAAGCTGGGCTTCGGTGCTTTGCCCTGCCTGCCCTCTTTGGCTGGCTGGTGAGAACTTGAACTGGCAGAGTCTGTAGTGAGATTCCATGACAAAACCAGGCCTAGTGCTGTCCTGCTAACTACTCAGGAGGCAGAGATCTGAGGATAGTGGTTCAAAGCCAGCCTGGAGAGGAAACTCCATGAGACTCTTAGCTGCCATTAACCATCAAAAATGCTCAAAGGGGAATGTGGCTCAAGTGGTAGAGTGCTAGCCCTGAACAGGAAGAAGTTAAATAAGCAAGACTGTGTGTGAGTTCTGGCTTCAAGCCCCACTACTAGTGAGCACACACAAATGTCCTCCTCTTCTCTATCCCTCTCTGCCTCAAGTGCTGGGATTACAAGTGTGTACACTTGTACACATTCCAAAAAAGAACAGAGAGAGTCAGCACCAAGTACACAGCCAGTTCCTCGGACCTTAGTGGCATTTTTTGTTTTGTTGGTTTTGTTTCTTTTTTGTGTGTTTTTTGGCCAATCCTGGGGCTTCTGGAACTCTGGGCCTGGATGATGTCCCTGAGCTTTTTGTGCTCAAGGCAGGCTCTCTCCTATTTGCACCACAATTCCACTTCTGATTTTTTCTGGTGGTTCATTGAAGAGTCTCACACTTTCCTGGCTGGCTTTGAAACATAATACTCAGATCTCAGCCTCCTGAGGAGCTAGGGCCTGCGCCACAACCCCCAGCCTGAGTGGCCATTTTTTAAGGCCTGGTCTTATAACAAGTCATGGGGTGAGGCTGGTGGAAGGTTCTGGATGTGGGCTCCATGTGGGCTGGCCACAGGATCACTGATCCTCAGTTTATTCATATGATGGTGGGGGGGGTCAAGCCGACCGGTCAATAGACTGACAGGCCCCCACTTCTGCCCAGACACAGCCGTGATCAGCCCCCAGGACCCCACGCTTCTGGTTGGCTCCTCTCTGCTGGCCACGTGCTCGGTGCACGGAGACCCGCCCGGGGCCACGGCGGATGGCCTCTACTGGACCCTGAATGGACGCCGCCTGCCCCCCGAGCTCTCCCGAGTGCTCAACGCCTCCACCCTGGCCCTGGCTCTGGCCCACCTCAACGGGTCCAGGCAGCAGTCTGGGGACAATCTGGTGTGCCATGCCCGGGACGGCAGCATCCTGGCGGGTTCCTGTCTCTATGTGGGCTGTAAGTGTCCCCGGACACCTGGGGAGGGGCGTCTGTGCCCAGGCTTGGGGGGGTCCCTGGACACCTGGGGAGGGGCGTCTGTCGCCCAGCTTGGGGGGGTCCCCGGACACCTGGGGAGGGGCGTCTGTGCCCAGGCTTGGGGGGGGTGCCCAGACACCTGGGGAGGGGCGTCTGTCGCCCAGCTTGGGGGGGTCCCCGGACACCTGGGGAGGGGTGTCTGTGCCCAGGCTTGGGGGGGGGTGCCCGGACACCTGGGGAGGGGCGTCTGTGCCCAGGCTTGGGGGGGTGCCCGGACACCTGGGGAGGGGCGTCTGTGCCCAGCTTGGGGGGGGGTCCCAGGGGCAAGGACAGCTATGCTCTAAACCCGAGCAATGTCCAGGCCTTCGCTTCTGCCTCCCCTCCCCTCACTCCTGCTAGTGCCTCCGGAGAAACCTTTTAACATCAGTTGCTGGTCCAAGAACATGAAGGACCTGACCTGCCGCTGGACGCCTGGGACACGTGGGGAGACCTTCCTGCACACCAACTACTCCCTCAAGTACAAGCTGAGGTGCCCGGGGCTCTGGGAGGGCTGTGGGCCCCAGCCCAGCCGTGTGACCCCTAGACTAGCGCTGGCTCTGTTGGAGCCTCTTGTGCGCATGCCCAGGCACGAAGTGGACCCCCCCCACTGCCCATGCCCAGGCGCAAAGCTCCCCCCACCCCCTGTGCGCATGCCCAGACACAAAGCCCTCCGTGCGCATGCCCGGGCGTGAAGCACACACACACACACACACACACACACACACACCGTGCGCATGCCCGGGCGTGAAGTGCACACACACACACACACACGCACGCACGCACACACACACACCATGCACATGCCAGGGCGTGAGGCGGAACCCCCCATGGGCATGCCCAGCAACCCGTGGTGACACCCCGTAGCGCCCCCCGGCATGCCCAGCACCCCGCGGTGACCCCCCCCGGCATGCCCGGCACCCCGTGGTGACCCCCACGGCGCCCCCCC